TAATAATATTAGAGTTATTAATATAATTATGATATTATTTATTATAATATTATTATTACATTATATTATTATATTATATTATATTATATTATATTATATTATATTGTATTGTATTACGAGTCTAAATTTTTAATTAAAAAGATTGTAAATTTTAAATTTCATTAAGGGTATTATAAGTATTATAAAAGTTTTATTAATTGTACTATATTGATTCCTGCATAATCTAAAAATTAAAATTATCTTTGGACTGTTCTTAATTTTAACCGTAAATTCTTTAAAAATTTTTCAAAAAATACTTTTAAAAAAATTTACTAAACATCAAAATTAACTTTTATTATAAATAAAAATTAATTTTGAGAGTAAAAAATAATACCAAACTAAGCCGTGCCATATGAAATTTCTAGAAACTACTTAAAAGTTTCGGTTAAAAGAAAAGGAAGAAAAAGGGGCAAAAATAGAACGGGAAGGGAAGAGTCTAGAGTGCGGACAACATTGATTTGATCTTACGTCCTTTCCTTAACACCCAAGCCTTTTATATTATCAGGTGTGTAATATATACGAAACCGAATCGAAGAAACACAAGAAGAAAGTTTCGAATTTCCTTTCCGTTTTCCAGGAGAATTTGCTTCTTCGTAAGAAACCCACCACCAAAAAAAAAAAAAAAATTGAAGTCCATTATTGCTTTTATTGGGCGATGGCAGGAAGAGGAGGGAGGACGAGGGGATTGCTGCCATGGCTGGCTTGGGAGGCGGTGAGCCAATACTACAGGCTCGACAGGAAGCCTCCGGTCACAGCCGGCCTCATTGCTGCCAACACTCTTATCTATTTGAGGCCTGATTTTCTCGATTCCATTCTCCCCTCTATCGACCAAGTCTGGTTCAATCCTCATCTCATTCTCAAGGTAAACTCCAATTTCTTAAATTCTTTTTCTTTTTCATTTTAACCATTCGATCATTTAAGAAAAAGAGAACCTAATTATCTTTGTAATTCCCCTGAATGTGGGGCTAATCTTGTTTCTATTAATTGTACTTGTTTTCAGTCCAAAATTTTAATATATGCAGAAATGTTACCTTCTTGGGTACAATATAATATTGGGAAAATTAGGAAATTCTCAGTGGTGTTGGGATGAAATTTGATGTTTAATTCTGTATTTTGAAGATTATAAAAATGAAGATGTTAATTTTTTTTGAAATTTTATTTTATTATTTTATTTTACGTTAGATTCTATTAAAATTGCACAAAAGCGTGCCTTCAAAAAAGGGTTAGGAAATATAATGTGTACATGGGTTATTTATGATAGATTTAAAACTTTATCTAATTTCATGACATTGTCATTGAAATAAGGTTAAATTTGGAAAGAACTTAAAAGGAGTAGGCAATGTTATGTACAAAGATATGTTTGTAACTTCGCAAAAAAAAAAAAAAAGGCTAATGTTATATTTTACTTGAACCAGAGAAGGATCATTTTAAATTGTAATTGAACCAGAGAAGGATTTTGTAAGTTTTTCCCATTATATCGTTTATTAGTATATGATTAGAGGGGGAAAAAGGGATTTGTAATGGTGATGCCTTTTGGTGTTTAGAAGTTTTCTTTGACTATTATGGATTTTATTTAATTATTTGCTCTTTTTCAGCTTGTTTAATTTTAGAATTGTTACGGCAATGATGATAATGCAAATTCTATCTGGTGAATTACTGCACTTATTAGCTGCATATTATATTGTACTTAATCTAATTGACACCATAAAGATTTTAATTCGCAATACATCTATTCTGGTGATGATTTGGCTGCCAAATTCCTTGCCAATTCTTTTCGTTATTCTTGTTGTTGGTCTTAGTAACCTCATTCAATCTTATAGTTTGTTCTTTTACAGTGTTTGCATTCATAGGATTTTATGTACAACGAACTTATGTTGAACTACTGGGACTTTATTGATCATACATGGTGATTGTTTTCAACAGTACAAGGACTTGAAGCGATTTTTCCTGTCGCCATTCTACCACATTGGAGAACCCCACCTGTTTTACAACATGTTGTCCCTCTTATGGAAAGGGATTCAACTGGAAACTTCAATGCCAAGCATCGAGTTCGCGTCCATGGTCGCCGAGCTACTCGCCATGTCGCAAGGAATCACGCTCTTGCTTTCCAAGTCCCTTCTCTTGCTCTTCGACTACGAGAAGCCCTATTACTCCGAGTACGCTGTGGGATTCTCCGGCGTCCTCTTTGCCATGAAAGTCGTCCTTAATTCTCAGTCCGAAAACTACTCCAATGTGTACGGAATTATAATCCCGTCACGCTATGCTGCTTGGGCTGAGCTTATTCTCATCCAAATGCTTGTTCCCGGGGTCTCATTCCTTGGCCATTTGGGTGGAATTCTTGCTGGTATTCTCTATCTGCACCTCAAGAGGACATTTTCGGGTCCAGACCCACTTGCTGTATTCATTAGAGGTCTTAGCAGAGGTCTTACAGGGATTGTAAGCTGGCCAATGAGGGTTGTGAAGGACTTGTTTCAATGGCGGCGACACAGAATATCTGGCAGGGGAAGGGTCGGCCGAGGTAGCGAGAATCGACGAGGAATGCCTGACCAATCGTTGGGCGTTTGGAGATGCCCTGATTGTACATATGAAAATCATGTTCTGCTGAGCATCTGTGAGATGTGTGGGACGAGTAGGAGTGGGGTTGGATTGGATTCTCGTCCCTCATTGTCTCACCTTTCTCGTGACCACCCTCCTTTGGATGAGTTGCGTCGCCGGAGAATTGAAAGATTTGGTAGTCAGTAGGTAAATGATTCGGAGATTCCAATTGAATGAATGAATAGATTGAGCATATTTTTTGTTGTTGAAAGATATGTAAAGTGAAAATGCTCTGTGTCATAGTTCCTTACAAGCAAAAAACGAAAGTATCTTTCATATTTCTGGTTTGATGGTTGGTTTTGATTCATTAGAATTGCACCCTTGAATTTTGTATGGTAGATCTTAAAGTTTGGGTAGGAGATTAAAAAGTAGTCTCACGGTGCAATTAATGCTGGAAAATTGGACTCCAAAAGAAGTTTGTTGGCCATAGCCTAATTGCTAAGCGGCTAGCATGTTTACGTTTTACCACCTCAGCTTCTTAGAGTGTGATTGAGCAAGAGCCATTCAGATATATGTTTTTTGTCTTCAATTGGAAGAGCCTAAAACTACGTTAAGATGCTGACTTCCAGATATACTTAGGGGATGTTTGGTTGGAAGCTTTAAACCATGATTTGAATTATGGTTCATGATTCGCTACAGTGTTTTTTCTCACAAAAAATACACGTAAATTGAAAATGATTTTAATCACATGATTCTAATCCATGAACCAAACGTCTCTTAAGAATGATGTACGTGTGTATTTACATTATGTTGTGCATGCAATCTAGTAAAAGACGGTAACTGACTTAAGATCAAATGTTTCGAGCCGGCTTATGTGAAGGGCACCGCCGATGCCACCAATCCCCTTTCATCTCGGGGGTGAGCCACTTTTTTTTTTTCTTTTTTGTTATCGTTGCAGAGAATCGGCCACTCCCGCCCTAAGTGTCATAAGTTCTATTTCAATAAGTAAATGCCTGGAAGTTGAGACTTAATGGATTCACTTATAGATCCACTATGTTTGCTCTTCCTGAAGGCCTTTATGGTTTGATCTGTCTTGTGGGATTGTGTGTCTTGCTTATGTTTGAATACCAAAAAAAAAAAAAAAAATGACAAGGATACCTGGTTTCAGAAAGTTCATCACCGCGACCCGCGTGTACCTCATGTCAATGGAACAAGTTCTGGCTCGTCCTCCATTCACCATTCTATGATCCACATTTACAAGTAAAGGAAGCATCCAATAAAACCTTGTTAAGAAACGTGGCATGTCTATGAGTGGGGGGCGATTTAAACCTAAATATGTCTTGACTAATATATTCAATTTCTCTCCTTTGAACGATAGTAGAAATAAGTTTAATTATAAAGAAATACAATTGCCATAAAATTTTCTTAGGAAAGAGTCTTGTGATAGCGAACTAGTCCTTTGAAATTTTTTATTGTGCTGGTGCAATAGCTATGTGGTTAATTGTTATACATTTTACTCTTCCATGCAACTAGTGCCATTAGATCGATCTCAGATCCAATAGTTAATGAGCTTCTATTTTTAGCTAGTTGTATTGATTGAGTGAGTTAGTTTGAAATGTTCATCAATCGACTCGCTTAAACACTCTTTCAAAATGAGAAACAATCTAGCATAAAGCCAAACAGGACAGCAAGCCAACAAGAGTATCTTATTTTACATGCTAACCATAGGCGCTCTTGGTGATCTGATCGGTACCTGTTCCCCGACCACCCAGACGTATGGGCCGATCACTGTTTAGATGTCCCATAGCCGATCAGTTCTCGGAATACTATAAACTTCTAATTTTTTTGCTGAACAACTCGGAGTCATCCTCTGTCCTGCTCGCAATTGATATCAGGCTTCAGAGCAAATGTTCGCACTACCTACGAGCCTTTGTAAGTCGAACATGAGTTAAGAAGAATATTGCACACTTAGTTATTTGATGGCACCCATCCTCACCGTCCACATGGTTTATTTTACGACTGGCGAGGATTGGTGACACTTGGAACCGGCCCTACAAGGGTGTATGGCCTCACTTCGGGACCCCAGTAAATTGTGGACCTGAATCGGATCTAACAACACACTATAAATACCCCATGGCCATTTATTGAGGTATAGACAATTTTTCCACCTAACTCTACCATCCACTGATTGTTCAGAGCACGACACTAACTTGAGCGTCGGAGGACAATTGGCCGGCACCACATCGGTGCCCCAAGTCCCCTAAGCTCGTTTCTTTCTTTCGCCTGCGCAGACCAACCCTATTATGCTCCCGAGCAGGACGATTTGATTAGTAGCAGCGGAGAAGTTGTGTCCGACCACCGTGCGTAGCCGCACGTGGTGTTGTGTTAGATTTGAACATCAACATTTGGAGCTAGAAAGAGGGCCACCGCGCCTTTCCAGCACACTAAGCTTTCTTTACCCGTAATATGGAAGACCAAGCGAATAACGGTCAACAGTGGGAGCCCGAGCGGGTAGTGACTGACCCTAAGAGTGGAGCTCCACGTCGAGGTTGGAGAAGTCCGGCGAGGGCCCGAGCCCCAATCCAAGCGGACCAGATAATTGCCCGAGTCCAGATCTTGACCGAGATGGTTTAGCAACTGGTCGAAGCCATTCAAGGTCAACATCAATTTGGGCTCGTTTAGAACCAGCCAGAGGAGATTTAGACCGAATAGGTTGAAGCCGAGCAGTAGTCAGTCAAGTCTAAACGGTCAAGGAGTAGAGCTACTGGCCGACAAGGGAATGGTCCGAATAAGCTAGTTCCGCTAGGCATCCGAATGGCCAAAGGCCCAAGCAAGCCCCTGCCTACTCGGTCTCTAGACAGTCTATCTTTCAGCAGTTGGGACAATGAGCAGTTGTCGACTGAAGGAATAATAACGGACAAGGTGAATGGAACCAGACAGGTAGAGAGGCCGAGCAGGCCACGACCAAGACCTAAAGATTATATCGCGCAACAAATACAAACTTTGAGGCAGTAGATTGATCTCTTCATAAACATAAGAGATGGAATAGACGTTGACATGCTTGCTCTCTAAGTTATCCGATTACCTATTAAACAAATTATCCAGTTAGAATTTAAATAAAAATAAAATTTGACTTTACGTGGTATTTGAATTTGAGTAAAAAAAATGGACAACGAGATAAAATTGAATTCATCTCCTTTTCTTGGACTATAATAGTCGGCAACAACAGAGTGCTTATCCTTGTGGAGGCCGAATTTCATCTGTAGTAAGGGAGATAAAATTTGTTCCAAATTTAAATAAAAATTTATATTGGTTTCAAATGAGATTTGAAATAAAGATATTTACCAATTTTCTTAGTCTTTATCTTTTAGAGATCATATCAGAGTTCTATTGAGACTTTAATTGTATCTCTATAAATAGGTTGTAGTAAAAAATTAGTGAACACAATTTTACTCTATTTTCTCCTATAATAGGCGTGTAATATTGAGAGAAAATGAGGAGAAAAAAAAAACTCAAAACAGGAAAAAGAAAGATGTGCGAGGTTTTGCTCATTTTGACTTGTGTGTGAAACGTATAACTAAAGTCAAAACTCATTCATATTTAGTTATATGGTATAGATTATCATCATAAGGTAAAGAAAAAACCAAAATATAATATAATTAAGTAATATAATTAAGCTATGCTAGATTGTTCATTTACCTTTATAATTAAGCTATGATAACATTTAACGGAAAAATCCACATGAGGAACTAGCAGTTGCTAAGACATAGTTGTCTAAAACTTTAAAATGAAAATTCAAATATATGATATATACACACACACGACTTTGGGGACTCAATTATTCAAATTTTTAAAATGAAGATGCAAATACCGAAGCTCAAAAATTTGACAACCCAGGCGCAAACAGACTTAAAGAAAAGGGAAAAAGAAACCAAGTATTCAATTCTTTCATGCGAATTTCTCTAGTAGGATTAGTAGTATCAGTTTCTGATCGTTAAATTACATTAAAATCATATTAAATTGAAAAAATATGCAGACTAAACAATTTTCGATATAAATTTAACGGTTGAAAATAGAGAACTACAGATAGTTTATTTTTTCTAGTCCTACCAAAGATGCCCCCTTATGTAATTTGTTAGCACTGCCAACTTGACCTTACTTTAAAATGTTAAGAGTGATTTCATAAAGAAAGAAAATTTCTAACTTCCTTATGTTCGGACTTTTTTTATTATTATTATTTGTCTATTTATGAATAAAGCTGCGTGAAAAAGTGAAATTTATATAGCCAACCTCAATTAAGATGAGATTAAGGCTTGTTTTATGGTCACCCTGGTGTATAGTTGACTAAAGAGGTCGTTTGGTTTATGTATTCATAATTATGATTTAGAATCATTCTCGTTTTACGTGTATTTTTTATGAGAGAAAACATTATAGCAAATCATGAATCATGATTCAAAATCAGAGATGAATATAGGAAACAAACGTCCCCTAAATAAAATTTTATTTGGAGTAAAGTCCCTTGTCATATATAAGAAAGTGAGAGTATCATATGAGATATGTCCATATGTTGACAGATGGAGTAAATAGGGTAATTTACTCTTTGTCAACTAATGAGGAATTTCTCCTATTTTGTCTAGAGCATAGACTATAAATATGTGCATTTTACGGTGATGTCACCTAAAATTATAGCAGACAACCTTCGTTTTTTCTTCAGGTTTTGATAGAGTTCTTGAGTTGTAAAAAATATTATGTGTACAAGTATACTTGCACAGCGAAGATGTTTGGAATTTCTTATCCTGGTATATCATGAGATTAATCCTCGACTCAGCGATCTTTATCTGACTCGTTCCGCCATATAATGTCATATTATACAATTGGTAGAAGTAGAAGGGTTTGAAATGCTCAACTTTCAAGAATGGCTTCGTCAAAGAAATGAAAAAGATATTTAAAAAAAAAAGGAAAGAAAGAAAACATTCAAGAATGGCCAGCCACATGAGGAAAAGAATATTTGTAAACAAAGCAAAAATTCACAAAGGAGAGAATATTTAATGTGCTTTGGTCGAGGAAGTAATAATCACTCCACGCCCCCACACACGATAGACATTACTCATTTATATTCTTTTTATTGTTTTTTTTTTAAAACAAAAAAATTAGTCTCAATCCTACCCATTAACATTTTTTTTATTTTTTTTGAGAGATACATTAACATTCTTAATTCTACTTTATATCAAATTATCTAGGATGGAACTGATTATATGTCCATTGTATATACGCAACCAACCTTTGTTGTCACAAAGCTGGTGGCATGGTGGGCACGTGCAAATACTATCATGCACTACTCCGTGACGGAGTCAAGATTTGAATTCAGTGGTGGGAGCTGATCGATAAAAAAAAGTAGGGTCTTTTTATACTGTCAGGATGTTTTTTTTTGACACCGTGCTGAGAGATACAATAATTTAAAAATTTTTACATTAGAACTTGTAAACTCAAATAATAAAGTTGCAAAAGTAATGATAAACACGTAAATTTTGAAGGAATACAATGAATCGTTTGAGTTTGTAAGTTCTAACGTAAACTTCACAAGTTATCGTATTCTTTCAAATTTACAAGTTTATCCTAACGTTTGCAACTTGATTGTTCGAATTTGTAAGTTATAACGTAAAATTTTATAAATTATCGTGTAAGGAAATTGTCTCTGGGCATCATAAAAGTTTCGGCACAAATTTTTTATCTTTTCTATTTTTTTGCTCTGATTTTATCATTTTTTCAAGGGAATAATAATTTTATTGAGTATTGTGCGTGCGAATTTATGCATATGATGAATAAAAAAAAAAAAAAAACATTAAAACAATATGATCACTTAAGATTAAAAATTTCATAAATTTCCAAAATATTTTAGGGCGCAATAAAACTTTTGATATAAAACTATTGGAAAATAACACAGAAGCGAAAAATATAAATGAAAAAACAGAGACAGTAATCGCTATCAAAAACAAGAAAAAAAATTATCTGAAAATGAAAAAGACAAAATGATAAAATGAACTAATGTGAATAAGGAAGGAAGTGAGCCCGAAAAGGGAATGCCCGTCATTCAATAACAATAGAGTCAAGATTTGAATTCAGTGGTGGGAGCACATTCTTAAAATGATAGTATTTTGGACAAAAACTGTAGTGGTTTTGTTTCCCTTCAATGGGGGCACGTGGGCACAAAGTGTATCCGTGCCTGGCACTACTATATTATTACCATTACAAAACTTTTGTATTCTGTATTCATCATAAGACACAATTGAGTAAAAAAAAAAAAAAAACAATAAGACACACTAGATATTTTGTAATGTAATTTTAACGTGATCTCATTATTAAATATAGGTGTTACTGAATCCTGAGCTGATAAGAAATTTTTATGACTCGTTTACTTTGTAGATTTAAATTTTTAATTTAAGTTAAAATTTAATATTTTATGAGAATTTTTTATTATAATAAAAAAAATTAAATATGATATTTTTTAAAAATTTTTTACTTAAAAATTTAAAATTAAAAATTTAAATTCTCGTCAATCCAGCGGTTGTTTATCGGATTAAAACGGCAGAATAACTTGAGCCGTCCAATTGAAATCGACGGTTAGTATCTACTGTTGCTGCAAAAAGAGAGTCTAGGTTCCAGATGTAGTACACTGCTAACTGCGTCATTTTTGTGTACATGTGTTGAAATCGTGGAAGAGAGAGGGAACGTTGTCAGGAGACAACAGTTAATTTGATCGCACCAACAGGCGGCTCTGGTTGTTATTTAATAGTATTCTAATACATGCAGAAGGGTATATATGTAAATATGGTTAATTAAAAAAAATTGTTATAATATAGTGAAAGGAATATTAAATATAATTAGAAAATTCGGGAGTAAGAAGTAATATTGGTTGTGTTGGGAATTGAATAATGGGCTAAAAGAGCATTGAAACCACAATGTAAGATTTTCAAGTCTAGTAAGGTGACAACTCAAGGAGTTATTCTTTTGCAATAAAATTTAAAAAAAATTTAAACTCGAGTTACAACTTTATTTAAATTTATATTTTTTTGTAAAATTTGAGTTTGAATTCGAGTTTAAACTCGAGTTTGGGGTGAAACTCGAGTTCAAGTTTCTCCTTCAACTTGAGTTTATAAACTCAAACTCAAGTCAATTAACAATATTTTTTTTATTCTTAAAAATGTCATAATCTTTTCGTTTTAATTCTGATTGAAATAATTTTTTTATGCATTCACAACGAAAAGATGAATAAAACTCCACCCATATACTCTATTAAAATTTTTCATCACTATTGAGTTTTTATTAAAATACTATCTAAATATAAATTTAAGTTTTGATTCACCCAAACACAAACTCAAAAAGATTCTCAATTCAAATCATAACTCAAATGTGCACATCTAAACACAAACTCAAGTTACAACTTCAACTCAAATTATAACTCAAACTCAACTTAAAATCATCACTCAAATCACCTTAACTCAAAAATGTAAAAGATCAACCCTTAAGTTATTTGTACATTCCACTTGAGATGGTTGTAAGATTATTGAAGTTTCATGAACACGTAACCTGCCCCTAAAGCTTTGTGACCGTTCAAAAATAATCCAAGGGCTCAAGGTCTTCTGTCTGATCCGTTAGGCAAACAATGCTTACCGGATAGAAGACATTTTTTAAAAACTCATTCATTTCACCGATTTGAGTTTAAAATTCAAGTTTTATTACAATAAAAAGCTCTCGAAAATAGTCACATTTAATTTTTTTACTACAGTAAAAAACTCTCATATAAAATCACATCTCAACTCAAATTTAAAACTGGAATCAATGAACTAAACGAATCCTAAAATTGTCTACTAATTACATTGGATAAAAATTAGAGTCACATTTATGTTAAATTTGGTAAGGGAGAAAGAAAATAAAAAAGTGAAGGTAAATAACTTAGGAGAGAAAATAGAGACCAAAAAATGATCATTCCTCATACGTTTTGTATGGGTTTTCTATTTGAATTTTTTCATATTAACATTAAGTGGATGTTTAGTTTATAAATTCAGAACCATTTTCAGTTTATGTTTTTTTTTGTAAGAAAAAATACTGTAACGAACCACGAATTATTATTCGAATCATGACATGAATCTACCAACTAAACGTACCATAAGATATTAAAATTGAAATTTTTTAAAGATTTAAAATCTCTCCTACAATTCATAATCAATTTCCTCTCTTTTCCCTCTTACCTATTTAAAATCTTTCACTAATTCTCTCATCTCAATAAGATCTTAAAAAATTACTGAAAGTCATATTATAGATTATAATCTTTTTTTTTTAGTATATTGCAATCACTCACTCACGATGATTACTTAAAATGATTCAGCAATTGTGATATAAGAACATTATAATTTTTTTTTTTAGGGGCACATTAATTAGTTATGACTAGAAAAAAAAAATCCAAATAGTTATGACTTATATCTTATGATGACCCTAACCCCTTCCTTTACTTGCGAATTGCGATCTTCCTACATATGAAGTTATAGCAATGCATAGATGAACGGTCCTGATCGTATCTCGAGTGTTAAATGTAGTGGCCATGATTAAAAATAACATAGTTTAATATAGTCCAAAAAATACAACAACATACATGTTAGAACTGATAAAAGAAAACATATAAAGCATAATCAAAATAGGAGGCAGAAAAATTTAAAAAGAATAATAAAAAAAATAAAAAGCATTTCTGCTTTGGTGTTTGAATAAGAAATTCTTCTTTTTCCCATTTCCTTTTCTTCTTTTATGTGCCGCCCCATTAATTGATCTTCCGCAAAGGCTCGAACCATACAGCTTCCCATGGCTGTTTGGCCGGTGCTCCTAAAAAAAGTAGCCAGATAAAAGCATATACAGGGAGACCATAGCACAAAAAAAAAAAAAAAAAAAAAAAAAAAAGGAGAAAGATTCTTTGTTGCCTTTTCTTCTTCTCTTTTGCTTGTGTTGGTTTTGATCGTGGTTTTCGTTTCTGGCCCAAGCTGTTTTGTCCCTCCCAATTTCTCTGTCTGAGTTTCAGCATTTCATTTGTTGGGTTGATCGTCGTCTCTTCAGATTCCTCAGAAATTTTTGGTTCAGCTTTTGAGGTAATCTTTTTTTGTTTTTTGGTTTTCTTTTTGTTTTTAGATTCATATTTTGTTTTTGGTTGAGTATATGTTTTCTTTTGGTCAAATTCGTTTTTAATGGATCGATTTACGAGCCCATTTTGGTTTACTAATTATTTATTTTACCGTTTAAACAGGTGGGCATTTAAAAAATATGGGATCTTATAAGGAAATTGCAGTACAAATGAAGAAATTTGCATTGTTTTCAATGAGGACATTTTACAGATCAGTTAGACAGCATCCATTTCTTGTGGGTATGATCTTGTTTTTGGTATTTCTGTACAGATCATTTCCTTTCCTGTTTTCTCTGTTTTTATCTGCATCCCCTGTTTTGCTCTGCACTGCGGTTTTGCTTGGGACCCTTTTGAGCTTTGGGCAACCCAACATTCCCGAAATCGAAAAGGAAGAGAAGCTTAGCCAGGATATTGTTTCTCTTAAGGCTGCTGGGGTCTCGGGGAATGGAACTTTTGTTTTTGAGAGAGAGGAGAATTTTGTCATAGAAAAGCATTCAGGAGATAGAGGGAATTTAGTTGACAAGTCTATTGAAGATGCAGGGTTTGTTGATGATGAGTTCCTTAGTAAGGTTGAGAGTCGTGTTGATTCACCGGATTGCGTGCCACTTATTGATGAGAGTTCGCGGGAAATTCACACGGAGAAGAGAATAATTGAGGAAGTGGAGAGAGAATTTCTTGATTTTGAGTTTGAAAAGAAGAATGATATTTGCGAGGACGCGAGGGTTAAGGAAGGCGTGTTAGGTGATGGGAAAGCTGTTGAGAGTCATCAGTATTCTCTGGTTCGAGAAATTGGAGACGATGAGATTCTTGCGGCTGAAGTTGATGGACAACACGGAGAGTTAGTTGAAACATACAAGGAAGCTCACTTAGAGTCTTCACAGCCTGGTGGTGGTGGTGGTGGTGGTGGTGGTGGTGATGTTGGTAATGATGATGATGATGACGGGGATGGTTCTTCCTATTCTGAGTCTGATAGGGCAGAGAGTTCATCGCCTGATGCTTCAATGGCGGACATAATTCCGATGCTTGATGAACTGCATCCACTTTTAGATTTAGAAGCTCCACAACCTCCTCATATGTCCCATGATGAATCAGATGCAGGTTCTGAGCAGTCTCATAGAAGTGACGATGACAGTGCTGATTCAGATGCTGAAACTGAGAACCATGTTGATGAAGTAGAAGATGGTGCTGATGATAATGATGACGATGAAGAGGAAGTACATGGAGGCAAGGAGGATGATAGTAAAGCCGCTATCAAATGGACTGAGGATGACCAAAAGAATCTTATGGACTTGGGTACTTCGGAGCTAGAAAGGAATCAACGCTTGGAGAATCTCATTGCAAGGAGACGAGCACGGAAAAGCTTCAGATTGATGGCTGAGAGGAATCTAATTGACTTAGATGGTGCCGATCTTCCCTTCAGTGTTCCACCAATTGCAACAACAAGGCATAACCCATTTGATCTCCCATATGATTCTTATGAAAATATGGGCTTGCCACCAATTCCTGGTTCTGCTCCGTCTATTTTGTTGCCAAGAAGAAATCCCTTTGATCTTCCTTATGACTCTAATGAAGAAAAACCCGATCTCAAGGGAGACAATTTTGAGCAAGAGTTCTTGGCATTTCACCAAAAGGACATGTTGTTCCGCAGACACGAAAGTTTTAACGTGGGACCATCAGGTTTGGGGGGTTCCAGGCAAGATAGTAAGTGGAAGCCTGTATTTGTAACGGAACGGTTGGCTCCGGAAGGAATGAGCTACCCCTCATTCCAAAGGCAATTAAGCGAAGTCAGTGAGTCGAAGTTGAGTTCAGTTCCTGACACTGAATCTGTAAGTTCAGTGGCAGATGCAGATGAGAAGAAGCTGGCTGAGCAAGATTTTTCTAAAGAAGTGGAACTGCCTTCCAACACTTACCAGCCTTATGATCTTGTTAAGCATGGAAGTGAAGCCTCAGACGATGTAGATTCTGTTGAGTTGGAGCATGCTGAGAATAGAGATGTTCAGCTTGACGAGGAAGTAATCAAGTTGGGGGAAGCAGAAAATCACCACGACATGGAATTGGACTTGTCTGAAACAAGAAATGAGGCTGCAGATGTGGAACTCGATACTGTTGCTGTACATTTGGAAACGGAACCAATTAAAGAGGAGGGATGCAGCAGTAAATCAAGCTTGTCTTCACTGTCTGAAGTGGATGATAGAATTCCTGATGTAAAAAATGAAGACGGCTCAACAACTTTGGCGGAAGGGGTTAACTATATTAATGAATCTGTCATTTCAGCTCACTCTTCACTGGAGGAGTCAGAATTCCCATTTACAAGCGGCGTAGGAGATGACAGTCAAACTAAGGAGCCTGTTTATGATTCAAGCCCAACAGCTGAAAAGTTGTTCTCCTTGTCATCCATTTCATCTGATATGCAAGTAGAGATGCCTGAAATGGTTAAACCTTCAACATCAGGAGAAATTGGCAAGTCATTTGAAAACCATAATTCTGAAGTGCAGGGTGAAGAAACGACTGTTGATTCCTCAAAGGTGAACGCAATGGAAGAAGTTACAATAGAGTCCAGAGAAGTTACAGAGTCTAGTGAGATCGATGTCTCAACGGTTGCTTTGTCAGGTAACGGTCTGCAGAATGATGATCAGATCAGTTCTGTGGCTCCTGAATCTGGGCCAGTACATGCTCCAGTTGATTCAATTTCATTTTCCTCAGAGCTTCAATTGGCAACGCGTACGGTGAACCAGGAAAAGAGTAGTCCTGATGTGCATGATCTTGTGTGTTCATCAAATCCTGACGTTGAACCCCCCAAAGCAATGCACTGCCACAAAGATGATAAGATTCATGTGGCGGCTTCAAGTGATCTGTTTTCTTTTGAAGATGCAAGTATGTCAGAACACCATGGAGAACAAGCTTCAATTATTGTTCAGCATGTATCAGTTTGCTCCAATCTATCCACTTTGGAAACTGCACCTCTGGAAGAACACGCAGTGGTTCAGGAAGAAATTATTAATCTTGATCAGCATCAAATCCAAATAGATTGTTCATCAGAGAAAACATCAGAAGGAGATGTGTTTAAATGTGGTGAAGTTAGTCATACCGAAGAGAATGAGGTCCAGTTACATTTTGATTCAGAGATCGAAGTTGAGAGTTCTCAAGATTCGGGTGTGCTGTTGGAGACATCTGAATCTTCTTCCCAGCACACACCTTCCAATGATTTAGCTGCAGTTTTGTTGGAGGAAGCACAAACTCCTTTGGTTGTTGAGCAGGTTTCTGTTGTTCATCCAAGTTCATGTTCTTTAGAGAATGACCATGAAAAGGAAGATCCAACAAATGGGGAAGAAGCAATTCAGTTTGAGCAGGACAAACTCCACTCGTCAAGTTCAGATGCAAAGTTTGAGGCCAGTATTCTCCAAGATTGTGATTTGACGGTGGCTTCTGAAAACAAATCTCCATCCGGATTGGAGAAAGAGCTTTCCTGGTCAGATAAATCTATGGTTGAACCAGAAATAGGCGATCATGATATACTCCAAGTAAGTCATTAGTTGCTTTTATATTTTTTACTTTACAGATTAATGGTGTTTTGTTTTTGTTTTTGGCATTCAAAAGATTGGGTTTATGAAACTTTAGAAGTTGTGTTCATGCACTTGGTATTTACTGAATTAAGATTTAAGAATTTTCTAGAGAGTTTTTAGATACCATACCCACCTAAATTGGCTTCATTGCGTTAAAAGCCGTCGAAGAGGGGTTCTAGTTCTTACTACAATAATGAAAATATCCTTGTGTTTATTGGTCATTAGGAGGTTTCAAAACTTCGAGAGTTTGTATCACCGGGTCGTTTAGTACAATGGAACCTAGATGTTTGCATATCTCAACTTCAGCGAATGTCTTTTTTTTTTTTTTCAAGTAATTATTGTTTTCTTTTTGATGCATTGCTAGCTTCTCCCAGGATTCAATCCTGGGATCTCTCCCTTAAACCCACCCCACCCTTACCACGCCCCCCTTTCTAGTAATTAACTTTCAGTGTTCAGTGGATTTCTTTCGTGTCCACAATTGTGGTAAACTCATTATCTTATACCTAGGCCTCAGCATACATACAAGATGCTCTGACATTTTACATTTACTTTTCATATCTTTTTATTGATCGAAAAAAGTTTCTGGCTTGAATAAGCTATTTTTATGGTCTTGTATCCATGTTGAGCCTAGATGATAATTAGTATTCAGTAATGGTTGGGAGATTAATCATGGATGCTTGCTGCCCTGATATTTTGTAGGAATCGACCATTATGATGGCAAAAACTGAAGGAGGTTCAAGCATCAGTTGTGATGTCTACGATCCTGTTGACCAAGTTTTGGCTAATTTATCTTCTGGGACTCATGATTCTGTTTCGATCCCATCTGACCCTCTTGAATATAAGCCGCTTGCTGGTGAAATTGATCTGCAGGATAGCATCCTTGACAGAATTGTAAATGTCGACCATTCTGAGCTCTCGGATAAATTTGATTGTGATCTAAAAGCCCGTGTTGCAGAGGAAGATATCAAGGAAGAGGTGGATGAAATAAAAGATATTGATGAAGGACTGTTGTCCGAGTTGGATACAGTTGGGGACTTCAGAATAATAGAACTTGTTGGTGAGTCGCTCCATTCTGAGCTGATACTAAAGGAAGCCAATGCTGGAAATTCTGCACCTGAGATATTGCCGAGTTCCTCAAACCCTTCAGAAACAAGCCTGGAGTTGCCAGTTCTTGAAGTAAGATCGTTTGAAGATATTGACTTGGCTTCTAAGCAACTTCATGAGGGGGCAGATGTGGAGGAAGTCGTACTTCCTAGTATGGTCGAGGAACAGCTAGTTGTAGATGAATCCTCGGAAACCATTTCTGACTTTAAAGTTGTTGAAGCTAGATCTTTGGAAGATATTCAAATTGCTTTGAAGCAAGTCTCTGAAGGCGATAATGGTGAGCTTCCAACATCCTTGAACTCTAAGAATGAATTAACTGAAGTAGGGAACACTTCTGACTTGAAAGTTGTTGAAGCTAGATCTTTAGAAGATATTCAAATAGCTTTGAAGCAAGTCTCGGAAGTTGATGTTGGTGAGCTTCCCACACCCTTGAACCCTAAGAATGAATCAACTGATATAGGAATTAGTGAAGTGGGTTCTACCATTGTGACTGAATCGGGCAATGCAGAATCGGGTCGTGATGAAGTTTCCTCAATTGCTACCGATGAACCCAAAGAAGGATCCCATGAATCCTTGGGAACTTCAAGTACAAGCACATCGAAAAGTAAAGACAAGAAGTCGAAAGATTGTCTAGAGAGATCTGGTTCCAGCACCAGCTCCAGTTCCAGCTCAAGTTCAAGCTCTAGTGATTCTGAGTGACCATCAAAACTGATGAATGCATTTGCAGTTTGAATTTTTGTCTGTGGTTTTCTTTGTAGTGATGGGTTTCTTTTGATCTCCTTTACTTTGTTTTTGGTAATGTGTTTCTTTGGTTTTTTTGATTGATCAATATCTTCAAGAATGAGTTTTGATTTGATTTCTTGGAGTGAAATTTTACCTTCTCTGTTTGACAATTCCAGGGGTGAGCAGTTCCTTTTTATCGTGAAAATGTTCATAGATTGATAATGTACAATGTACATTGTATTTTGAATGTAGATGTTGAGTTTGAGGATGTGATCCTTTGTTTTGTAGACGTGCGTTATGTTTTTTATTTTTATTTTTTTCATTTTTTCTCTTCATTTGTCATTCCGTGCCTTAGGATCAGTAGATTCCTTGATTTGCATGTTGTTTATAGATTGTTTTGCCTTTAAAAATAAAGAAAGAAAAAAACCATTCGAAAGTTTTGTTGTCACGACACTTACAAAGTTCTATCGAATTAAATGATTGATGGAATTTTGTTACTCCATATCATTGTTTCTTCAAAGGCTGACCAAATCTTTTATCTCTAAAGCTAGATTTTCCCGAGTAATTATAACGTCAAATCTTTCTCATTTCATAAATTGGAAAGGAAATGAGGGAAAGGGGAGTGATAAACACATATCAAGGAATGATTACGATAGCAGCCATTTGGTTATTGTAGTCTCTAAAAAATAAAAAAAAATAAAAAATTCAGCTGCAATGCTACGGGAAACACTCTACAACCAATGTGGTTAGTCTCAATGTCCGATTTCAAAAACCCAGATCATATCATTAAGTGGACCTCCAAGTAGTAAGGTAAGAAGGGTGCAGTGTTTTTTTTTCTTCATTGTTGGATTTTTACATATTTTGTTCAAGAATAATATGGTTGGACTTCCATTCAATAATAATAATAATAATAATAATAATAATAATAATTATTATTATTATTATTATTATTCTTATTGGTGTTCATGAATTTTAAAGTCATTTAAAACTTTATTTTAAAAATTTATTTGCGTATGAGGATTTTATGGACTACTTGTTCTCTATTATTTAATATGTTTTCTATTATTTGATAATTTTATGAACTACTTGTTGTGTTGTATTTTATACTTTTTAAAATATTAGTGCTAATTGAAATTCATTTAAAAATAATATTTTTTTTTAATTCACAACATTCTCATGCACAACCATACACAGTAATGTAATATTCTTGCGAAAGATTCCTGTATGAAACCAAATACAGTAATGTATTATTCTAAGAAATCATATTATCCTCCATCACTTTCTCAGAAATATAATTTTTACTAATTCTTGCGTACCAAACGCCCCCTAAAGAACTTTAAAATTGGAAAAAATAAGCCAAGTTTTGAAACCTTTAATAGTAAAGAGTTTTGAATTTTTAGTTTTCCAATTTTACCCTTCTACAGTAGTTTTTATCATTTTCTCAAACTCCTCTCTACCTTCTTCTCCCTCATCTCTCTCTCTCTCCCACAATCTTTCTCGACCTCCCACTCTCTCTCCCAAAGTCTCTCTCTCTCCGTCGATCTCCTTCTCTTCTCTCCGCGCGACATTCTTCTCATCGTCGACGGAGGACCTGACCTCGCGACGGTCGCTATCGAAGACCACTAAACGCCTCACGACGGCCAAACAACCGCCACCGTCTGTGAAAAACGTCGTCAGTCGTTGGCTTCTCCCAAATTTGTCTCTCAATTCTGTGTTTCCTCCACTCCGCAATTGTAAGTTCTCGACAATCATTCAGGGTTTTGATTTTCAAGGATTTTTGTGGTTGCATTAGGTTGATTTGTCTATGATTTGATCCAATTCGAGAAAACAATTGGCATGTGGTTTCTTCTGCTAATTGATTAGATGGCTGATTTGTTTCTAATTTTTCCATTTCATTATTGTTTTTATTTTTTATTTATATTTTATTTTTGCTGAAATTTCCATTTCATCAGTTGAATGTGATAATTCAATACATAGGGAAGAAGAAATCTGAGTGCATAGCTATTAGCTTACCCATACATGTTCCGATGTTGTTTATACGAGACTACTGACTAATGTTTCAAATTTTTTATTGCAGCAGAATAACTAATTTGCAGATGATGTGTTGTTTGATTTGGAGATATATATCAAGCTGCGCAGATGCTTCTTTGAATTTTTGTTCCCTTTTATTGTAATTGATATTATTTTCTTTAATGGGACAATTTTTGCAATGTGCACTTGGGATTTAGGGCCACAATGTACTAATTGTAATTGAGATGATTCTGGTCATTTGTACAATCTCTGATCTTATTGTTAAACTTGGTACATTTTAGTATAACCTGTGTTTTTTCGTTTTTTTTATTTTTTTTGAAAGACTGAATTTCATTACCCCAAACATATGCCTACAACTTTCTGAATTTAACGGCGTAAGATTGGTTTTCGTAAACCCTCAATTTTCCGGCTATATCATATGTTGCACCACCATTGAGCAACTGACCGCTCCTTTGACTGCCAAACGCCGAGACGTTTTTAGTCGAGAGTTAGTCGTTGACGTCGAGTTTATAGTTATACATAAAATTCCCTCAAGACGATGAGAGTTCATGCAGGAATAAGACATGGGTCGAGAACTCTGCCTAAGCCGTGAAGTTCACGACATCGAGAGAGCAGCCTGGTCGGATTCAAATCAAATTCCACCATTTCAGGAAGAGATAAGCTACAACAACTGTCAAGATTCAAATTGGGAAATCAGAAAACCGATAAGGGTGATTGCCCTGATTCAGTTGTTCAAATGTGGAAATACAACTTTTAGATCCCGAGATTTAGGGATAAGGGGATGATCCCCTCGCGAAGTGGAGATGAGGTATCTGATCTGTAAAAGGCTTACAAATAGAGTCTGCATCCTCCATTCAGTTGTTTACGCACTGTTTTACTACTCCAAGAGAGATTGTAATCTTGACTATACTAGTGCACCCACAAGTGGACGTAGGCAAAGAATTTCTACCGAACCACTATAAACTTCTGTGTTCTTTATTTTTCTGCGATTGTTCTTCTTAATTAATTCGTGAGAGATGTTTGCGAGTGTTCCCGGAAAGAGTTAATTTTGAGTTGACTAAATTTCACCGTCATCAATTGACACTAGAAGGAGGGCCTAGACCCAAAAATCAAATCCAGCAAAAGCAATGAACATGCCTCCAAGAAGGACTTGCAGTATGATGGCTAATCAGAAAAGCCAGGAAGGCCAGAATCCTACCATTGAAGGGAGAAATCTAACGAAGCCACCCATCGGCAACCAAGAATTGGTAGGAGTACGGCCCAATCGCAAGGTGAATCCACCATCCACTGGAAACCCCCCAGATCGCCTTAACCAGCTTCAAAAATAGGTCGAAACATTCGTTGTGGCCGTAGAAAGAATGGCTACACCCCTCGCTGAACGGGATCAAAGGCCAAATTTGATGTTGTCGCTGAGGATGCGCCGATGAACCCAGTGAACACCGTCGTTGGGAACCAAGTGATTGGTGATCAATGCGGTGACGCTAAGGGGGTCGGTGACAGTGAGGCCAACAATAACCCCCGTCTAGCTAAGTCAAATAGGTCTGTAGGGAGCAGACAACGGGCTGCCAGAAAAAGAGCCCAAGAGAGGGTTGCAGCCTAAACAGTGAATAACAGAAAGGTGCCCCCTCGACTACAGGAAAACGAAAACCGGAGAAATGCAGTTTTGGTAGAATCTTCGTCTGTATGTGGTGGGGACCTAAGAGAGCAGCTGAACGCTCGACGCGATCGAGAGACGCAACAGACCAAAGAGGAAGAGCTCGCGGCCGAGAATAAGGTTCTGCCTGAGAAGATGGCCAGACCAGAAAAGCAGATCGGGACTCGACTAAACAACTTTGAGCAAGTTGTTAGAAAGGTGGCCAAGGCCGTAAATGTCGACGTCAAGATATACACGTCCCACGACCACCCATTCACAGAGAACATCATTCAGGTCCTGCTGCCCGATAAGTATAAGCCACCCCTAATTCCGCTATATGATGGAATGAGTGATCCGGACGACCACCTAGAAGTCTACATGGGGCACATGGTCCTTCATGGGTACCCCGAGGACATCATGTGTCAGGCGTTCAGAAACCATCTTTGTGACTCCGCAAGAAGGTACTTCAGATCCCTGAAACCAAATTCCATTACCAACTGGGATGACTTGAAGAACGACTTTCTGACTCAGTTTATAGGTGTCAAAAAGTACATCACACTCAAACAAAACCTTTCGAGGGTTTACCAGGGACCAAATGAGTCCCTGAAAGATTGGATAGCCCGATTCAGAAAGCAGGTGGTTGCCACTGAGGGTATCACTGATGAGGTGGCTTTGATGGGGGCCCTGTTGAGCATGAAGAAAGACATTCCATACAGCACAGACCTCGACCAGAGGCCGCAATAGACCTATCAAGAGTTTCTAACAAGAGCGTAGGGGTTCATTAATGCAGAGGAGGCCAAAAAGGCCTTGGAAACAAGGTGGCGATCCCCGCAAAAGAGGAAGCTGGGCAACCGAGCAGCCATAACAATGACAAGAAGCGTGGAGGTAATCCTCAGGTGTAGGCTGATCAAAGGTATAATCCAGCCCTGAACAACAATAGGGGCAACAACACCTTAACAGGCCAAGGGGATACCAAACGGTTCAAGTCGTAGAAATACGACGCCTACACCCCGTTAACCATGTGGATTGAGGATGTTTATCATGAGATAAGTCACCTCCAGGTATTGCATCAGCCACCATCATTCAAATCTGACCCAGCGAGAAGAAATTAGAGCAAGTATTGCAAATTTCACGGTGAGAGTGGACATACGACTGCCGAATGCTTTGATCTAAAGGACGAGGTCGAAATATTGATTTGTGAGGGGAGGCTTAATGAATACAGGGCCTATCGATGGAACAATAATAATCGGTGAAACAACGACCGACGAGAAGATCAAATGCAGGACAATCCGTCTGAACCTGTCGGTGTGATAAGAACAATCTTTGGAGGGTCATATATCGGCGGTACTTCTCACCGTGCACAAAAGGAGTATGCCAGAAAAGTGAAGGAAAAGTTTAACCGGAGAGTCATGAGTGTGTCTGGTCGAGAGGCGATGGCCGCAAGATATGAAGAGGCTGAAATAACGTTTTCAGAGGCAGATGCTAACGGCGTGCATTTCCCCCAGAACGACGCTCTCGTTGTTGAAGCCATGATCGGTAATCACATGGTTTGCCGCATCCTGGTTGACAACGGTAGTTCGGTGGACATTCTGTATGCCGATTGCCTCGACAAGATGGGGATCCCCCGAACGAGGCTGCAGAGCAATACACAACCCTTATACGACTTCACTGGGGATTGTGTCATCCCCGAGGGAATAATAGAATTACCGGTGACGATTGGTGACTGACCACACACCTCGACCGTCATGTCAAAATTTTTGGTTGTGAAGGGAGGTGACCAATATAATGCAGTCATCAGACGACAGACGTTAAGAGCTCTAAAAGCCATAACGTCAATCTATCATCAAATGATGAAGTTTCTAACTCCCAACAGGATTGGAAAAGTAAGAGGAAACCAATATGAGTATAAGCTTACATACTGAGATAGTCCGCCACTACGCCGAGTCGGGACAGGCGAGAAGGGAGATGAGGATGGTAGCAATCAAGACAGAGGAGGTCAATCAGCGTTTTACTTTTTTTGTCATTTTTTGAGGTCATTTTTCTCTAGCATGTCTAGAAAAATGTAAGGATCATGTCTGCAAAATTTCAATACTTTTAACGTCGTTTTTATTTTCTTATATTTTTTAAAGATGAAAAATAAACAAAATCATAAAAAATAGAATATTCATTAAAAAATGGTGCCGCTTATTGCATTAATTCCTAAAAATCATATGTTAATTTTAGAATGCAACACAGAAATAAAAATGTAAATTTTTGACTCATCCCGGTCCCTGAGCTGGCCCCTGGGCGCCCCACTACGCGGGCTGAGGGCTTTTTGACAACGTTTTACTTTTTTTGTGATTTTTTTAGGCTACTTTTTTCTGTCACACCTAGAAAAATGTAAGGATCGTGTCTGTAAAATTTCATTATTTTTTCACGTTGTTTTTATTTTATTATATTTTTTAAATACAAAAAATAAAGAAAATCATAAAAAATAGAAAATTCATAAAAAAATGGTGCCGCCTACTGCATTAATTCCTAAAAATCATATATTAATTTTAGAATGTAAAACATAAATAAAAATGTAAATTTTTTACCCATCCCGGCCCCTGAGCTGGCCCATGGGCACCCACTATGCGGGACGGGGGCTTTTTGACAGCGTTTTACTTTTTTGTCATTTTTTGAGGCCATTTTTTTTTTTTGCAGGCCTAGAAAAATATAAGGATCGTGTCTACAAAATTTCATTATTTTTTGACGTGATTTTTATTTTATTATATTTTTTAAAGCGAAAAATAAAGAAAATCATAAAAAATAGAATATTCATAAACCAATGGTGCCCCATGTTGCATTAATTCCTAAAAATCATATATTAATTTTAGAATGCAAAACATAAATAAAAATTTAAAATTTTGACCCATCCCGGCGCCTGAGCTAGCCCCTGGGCGCCCCACTACGAGGGTCGGGGGCTTTTTGACAGGGTTGTACTTTTTTTGTCATTTTTTGAGGCCATTTTTTCTAGCATGGCTATAAAAGTCATTTCTTTTTGGCGTCATTTTTATTTTATTATATTTTTAAAGACGAAAAATAAAGAAAATAATAAAAAGTAGAATATTTATCAAAAAATGATGCCGCTTGTTACATTAATTCGTGAAAATCATACATTAACTTTAGACTACAAAACATTAATAAAAATGTAAATGTTTGACCCATCCCGGCCCATGAGCTGGCTCGTGGGCACCTCACTACGCGGGATAGCAACTTTTCGACAGCGTTTTACTTTTTTTTTTGCCATTTTTTATGGTCATTTTTTTTCTACCATTACTAGAAAAATGTCAAGATCGTGTCTACAAAATTTCATTATTTTTTGTCGTCATTTTTGTTTGATTATATTTTTTAAAAATGAAAAATAAAGAAAATCATAAAAAAATAGAATATTCATCAAAAAATGGTGCCGTCTGTTGCATTAATTCCTAAAAATCATATTTTAATTTTTGAATGCAGAACATGAATAAAAAATGAAGATTTTTGACCCATCCTAGCCCTTGAGCTGACCCCTGGGCGCCTCACTACACGAGCCGGACGCTTTTTGACAGTGTTTTATATTTTCTTGTCATTTTTTGAGGTCATTTTTTTCTGGCATGCCCACAAATATATAAGGATCGTGTCTGCAAGATTTCAATATTTTTTGTCATCGTTTTTATTTTATTATATTTTTAAAGACGAAAAATAAAGAAAATCATAAAAATAGAATATTCATCAAAAAAATGTTACCGTTTGTTGCATTAACTCCAAAAAAATCATATATTAATTTTAGAATGCATAAAATTAATAAAAATATAAATTCATGACCCATCTCGGCCCCAGAGCTAGCCCGTGGGCCACTACGCGGGCCAGTGGCTTTTTGACAGCATTTTACTTTTTTTTTTTCATTTTTTGAGGCCATTTTTTTTAATGCCTAGAAAAATGTAAGGATCGTGTCTGCAAAATTTCATTATTTTTTGACGTCGTTTTCATTTTATTATATTTTTTTAAGTGAAAAATAAAAAAATCATAAAAAAATTAAATATTCATTAAAAAATGGTGCCGTCTGTTACATTAATTCCTAAAAATAATATATTAATTTTAGAATCCAAAACATAAATAAAAATATAAATTTTTGACCCATCCCGGCCACTGAGCTACCCCTAGGCGCCGCACTACGCGGGTCGGGGGCTTTTTGACAGGGTTCTACATTTTTTGTCATTTTTTGAGGCCATTTTTTCTGGCATGCCTAGAAAAGTCATTTCTTTTTTATGTCCTTTTATTTTATTATATTTTTTTAAAGACGAAAAATAAAGAAAATCATAAAAAGTAGAATATTCATCAAAAAATAGTGCCGCTTGTTACATTAGTTCCTAAAAACAATATATTAATTTTACATTACAAAACATAAATAAAAATATAAATTTTTGACCCATCCCGGCCATTGAGCAGACCCATGGGTGCTCCACTACGCGAGTCGGGCGCTTTTTTTACAGCGTTTTACCCCTTTTGTCATTTTTTGACGGCATTTTCTTCTGGCATGCCCACAAAAATGTAAGGATCGTGTCTTTAAAAGTTCAAATCTTTTTTACACAATTTTTATTTTATTTTATTTTTCAAAGATGAAAAATAAAGAAAATCATAAAAAATAGAATATTCATTAAAAAATGGTGCCACTTGTTGCATTAATTTCTAAAAATCATACATTAATTTTAGCATGCAAAACATAAAAAAAATGTAAATTTTTGACCCGTCCCGGTTGCTGCGCTGGTCCGTGGGAGCCACACTACGCGGGCCGGGGGCTTTTTAAAAGTGTTTTACTTTTTTTCTTATTTTTTGAGGCCATTTTTTCTGACATGGCTAGAAAAATGTAGGGATCGTGTTTGCAAAATTTCATTTGTTTGTCGTCGTTTTTATTTTATTATATTCTTTAAAGACGAAAAATAAAGAAAATCATAAAAAATAGAATATTCATAAAAAAATGGTGCCGCCTATTTCATTAATTCCTAAAAATTATATATTAATTTTAGAATGTAAAATATAAATAAAAATGTAAATTTTTGACCCTTCTCTACCACTGAGCTGGCCCATGGGCGCCCCACTACGCGAGCCGGGGGCTTTTTGGCAGCGTTTTACTTTTTTTGTCATTTTTGAGGCCATTTTTTCCTAGGATGCCTAGAAAAATGTAAGGATCATGTCTACAAAATTTTCTTATTTTTTGGCATCGTTTTTATTTTATTATATTTTTTAAAGACGAAAAATAAAAAAAAATCATAAAAAAAAACTTAAATATCAATAAAAAAATAGTGCCGTCGGTTGCATTAATTGCTAAAATTCTATATTAATTTTAGAATCCAAAACATAAATAAAATTGTAAATTTTTGACCCATCCCGGCCCCTGAGCTCGCCCATGGGCGCCCCACTACGCGGAACGGGGGCTTTTTGACAGCGTTTTACTTTTTTTGTCATTTTTTGACGCCATTTTTTTTGGAAGGCCTAGAAAAATTTAAGGATCATGTCTACAAAATTTTATTATTTTTTGACGTCATTTTTATTTTATTATAATTTTTAAATGCAAAAAATAAAGAAAGTTATAAAAAAATTAAATATTCATCAAAATATGTTGCCCTCTGTTGCATTAATTCCTAAAAATGATATATTATTTTTAGAATCTAAAACATAAATAAAAATGTCAATTTTTGACCCATCCCGGCCCCTGAGCAGGAGCCGGGGCGCACCACCAC